GGGGGGGCTTCCGCGCGAGACGATATTGAGGCCCAATGCGATGTTCAACATACTTATTGTGTCTTCTTGCGAAGTTTCCATCAACGCATATATTTCTGTGTACCAGACAAGTTAGCCGAAAATTACATAACATCCTTGAGTATGAGACTAATAAACGCACCTGATGATATCTGAAGAGCGCCCTGCTGACGTTCCAAGATCTTAGATATCTGCCCTCTTGATTCTGAGCTTCTATCAGCCTTCTCCTTCGCCGGTGTTGATATGACATCTATATGAAGGGCAATATGGGTTCTAATTACCTGCTTGAATGTGACTCTCTTTATTTTGAGTTTGAATTACAGAATCCAGGAGACCACCATGTCGCACCTGACCTTTTGGGAGAAGAATTAGCCTCTGGTTACTAACACACAGACATGGAGAAAGAGGAGGGTATGTCGCAGCGTTTGATCTCTATAGATTAGGATGTCCTTTCTTAATTTTCAATTTGGCTCTTCACCTTTGTGTGATTCAAGAAGTATTTCTTCGCTGAGGCGACTGCATGTCTCTTGGATAGTATCCAGAATTCGTCGAACCTTGTTTCGGACTGGGCAAGTGCCGACCTTGATATACCGAACTGCGAAAATGTTTCAGTGAGTGGCAATGGATTATCGCGATACAAAGAACGGTGTGCAGCTGCGGCAAAGGATTGAAAACGAAATGAAGGGCGTCAGGCCTAGGCAACGAACATACCAATCCAAGCGGAGCCGTAATATTCAGTGGCACGGACCGAGAAGTTTAAACATTGGGAAAATAGATCTGCAACGGCTGATTGAACTCTTTGGGCATGTGGGTATAGGCTGATGTATAGATCCCAACGTCCTAGATTGCGGGCAAGCTGGAGTACAGCCCTTGCTATCTCATCCGACAGCTCAATCTCTTTGGCTGCGATCTGTTCCCATGCGTCAGCACCAGCACACTCCTGCAAAGCTCATCCCTACCGGTGTGAAGGTGCAAGGAAACGGGTAATGTTTGAGCTCGAGACAGCATGGGACATGGTAATACATACGTCAAGGAGAACACCCAGTGAATGCCAGACGAGGCCGGCGCCCATGGGGTTGTGTGACGCCACCATGATGGCGGACTTTTTGTACTGGGACAGGACCAACAACAACCCGCGCATAGACTCACGGCACGGTGGCCTCTCCTGCTGCACCTTTGCACGCGCGGTCTCAACATGGCCCAGGATCTGGGCTAATGACCCAGCAGCCGGCCCGTTTGCCGTGGACACGACCATCTTCTTCGGATCCTTGGTCAAGGTAGTATTGAATATCTAGGAGCGGTCTGATCAGTTGTTTTTCGTTTCACTTTGATCACATGCTTTCGTGTGGCGAAGAACATCCATTCTTTAAGGGCTCACCTTAACCGCCATCTCCCAACATTGTGTTCTACACTCATTCTCATCTCCAGCCATTTCATAGATGATGGATGACAGCCCGCCAAAAAGTTAAAAAAAGAAAACAAGAGCGTTTAATTGACCAAAATTGCGACTCGGGTGGTTTTCTAGAGCTAGATTGGGGAAGAACCTGGGCATTATGGGCGTTTCTTGGAGCCGGCGCATAGCGATTTGTATGCGTGCAGGCCTGCAGGGTAGGAGCGAGGCTGACGTACCGCGTGATGTTCCCACGCCAAAAGTTGGGCAAAAATGTTTCATTCCCGAATGAGCTGAGGTGTGGTAAGATGAAGAAGCCCAAAAAAAACCTTTGGGCCAGAACATTTCAATCCCGATACGTTGAGGAGTGGTAAGATGAGGCCCAACGGCCTTTGGGCCAGCCACGAGGTGGTGCTATGTGCTATCTCCAAACCAGACAATTCTGTCTTATGCGACTGCCTTGTGGAAGCACCTTAGGTATGGCAGTCGAGGTATCAGGTACACCCGAGGTACCTACCTTGGGTACCTTGAGTACAGAAAAGTGTAGGCGCTATTGAGGTAGGTACCCACCGAGGGTCAAGCATATGCGTACCTACTAGGTGCCCGCCTAGCTACCGGGTTTATAAATGGGTACCTCCTGGTAGGTACTGAGGAGGTACTGGGGCAAAGTGCTACCCCTGTCGGCTGTAGTGGTCGCCTGACCTCTGGAGTTCGCCTGGTTCGCACAACTGCTTAGCATCGCCCGGCACAACAGAGGAGACACCAAATTCTTAGGTCCTCTTTCCAGACCTGTTCTGCGGCTAGAAACAACCAGATGTCGGAGGAAAAAGGATGAGTACCTATATTCCATAGGCTTTGAATTATATAGCAGTCTTTTTCTGAATTTATTTACGTGGTTTTGGGCCGGGAATATGGTGGATAAAACATAGAGCCTCTTCCATGGTGGACGCTTGAGGTACTGATTTGGTGTCTCATCTGTTATGTCACCCACTTGCCCGGTTAGCAAGGGGCAGCTTCTATTCCAATCACTGATGCTTGCGGGTGTTAATGGCGCGTCCTCCCTGTTTGTTCTCTGGAGGCTGCCACCTCAACTGTCTCACTCACTGCCGGTCATTCGCGTTTTGCCAATCCCACGCCTGCCCCATTGCACCCAAACAGGTGGCCTAGAGGTGAGGCTGGATCCTGCATCATCCTTTGCATCGGCGCTTTTCCTTCAATCTAGCCGCTGTCTGCCTTCCAATGTGCGTCCATGATGATCGTGATTTGGTGTGCACTTGCTCTTCTGGGGCTCCTCTGCCGCGAGATTCGCTTCCCTCACGCGTGGATCGATGGCTTTCGCCAGACTTTGCCCAGCTCGACTCAATCAACTCCTAAACTCTCCTCCTTCGTCTGGTCTGATGTGTGTTCTCCTCGCCGAATCCTCTCCCTTGCTTTGCCTAACTGACCGCGCAGATCGTCCCGTCGCCCTCACTGGTGTACCGCGATTGTTACGATGGGTTCCAATGTGCCCGGCTCGAGGTCCCTATGGACTGGAGGGTAGAAGGGTCTGAGAAGGTCGCCATCGCTGTCATACGACGCCCCGCAAAGGTCCAAGTCACTGACGCGCGATACGGAGGCGCGATTCTGGTAAACCCCGGTGAGAAAACTATCCACCACCCACCCCATTTCTGTTACTGTTCTTCTAGACTCACACACCCGCGCGCTCCCCAGGTGGTCCATCGGATTCGGGCATTATGCATGCCGTGAGGATAGCAGAGCAGTTACAAACCATTGTAGACTCGGACGACGAGGGTGGCCTCTTCTTTGACGTCATCGGCTTCGACCCACGAGGGGTTGGATACACCACCCCCAAGCTGGAATGTTTTGCCGACTACCTGTCTCGTCAATATTGGCAGATAACAGCAGCGGCAGAGGGAGCCTTGGCGTCTGGAAACGTGTCCTTTGCAAGCAAGTTAGCCAGGGGACAGTCCATCGCCCAGTCGTGCGTTGACAGGGCTGTTAACCACAATGCAAGCATCGCCTATCATATGAATTCGGCCCCTGTGGCCGCGGACATGCTGTCAATAGTGGAGAGACACGGAGAATGGCGCGAGAAAACGGCTCGAACCCTCCTCAAACAGCCTACTAAGGAACTCCGCTCGCATTCACAATACAAGCGTTCGTCAACCTCGGAGGCAGATGCTATTCTGGCTCGAACAGAATGGAAGGTCGGCAGAGAAAAGCTTCTTTACCACGGAGTATCTTACGGAACTGTCCTGGGTCAACTATTTGCGCATTTGCACCCCGACCGAGTTTCCCGGATCGTTCTCGACGCGGTCGTTGACACCGACGTATACTTGGGCAGCAAATGGGATGCTCCCATCGCCCAATCCGACGACATCTTGGAATATTTCTTTCGAGCATGCTCCAATTCATCCGCATGCGCATTCCGGGAAGATAGCATTGAAAAAACACGTGCTCGATTCCACCACCTCATAGAATCTCTAGACATCAGTCCTCTGCCAGTTTCCTCCACGTCAGAACATTCCGCCGACGTTGTCACTAGCTCGGATCTGAGGCGATATATCAGGGAGGTGGTTTATCACCCAGTCGCTACATTCCCACTGTTGGACCGCCTTCTTGTGGAACTCGCCGATGGGAATGGAACGACAATGGCCATTCGGAAACAATCTGGTCTGCTTAGCCGAGATAGGCAGCTCAGGCGTTGTGACCCCGGGTTAGCGTTTGACCTTTCATGTCATGATCAATCTCAATGGGAAAACGAGCCAGCCGCCGCCATAATCTGCTCTGATACCAGGACAATTTCGGATTTGACAGATGAGGAGTTTCTCGACTTTGCCGAATCACTGCAGAAGCGAAGCTGGGTCATGGGATGGTACTGGACAGAGCTACAGCTGCCATGCAAGGGTTGGACGATAAGACCAAGTTGGCACATAGATGGTACACATTCCACCTTTATTTCATGGTTCTGTCCATTTACATCTCGACTAATAACTATACAGCCCCTCTGGGATCCAATACGTCCGAGCCCATGCTCCTCATCGGAAACACTGTAGACCCAGTTACTCCCCTTCAAAGGTCGGTCGTCCTATCCGTAAGCTCGTGGGACATAATATTGAAACGGTCATAGTGCTATAAACATGTCTCAACAATTTCCAAGGTCTGTGGTTCTGAACCAGGATTGCTCTGGTGTAAGTTGCTCCCCTCTCCCTACTTGAGTAGCACGCACTTATTCGCATCTTAGCACGGCTCCTTCAGCTACCCATCACTTTGCACCGCCAAAATGGTTAGGCAATACTTTCAAAAAGGTCAATTGCCCTCACAATTGACAAAGTGCGGGGTAGATGACCATCCCTTTACCTCCTCCATGCAGAGCGATCTTTCGGGCAGTGATGAGAAACTGTTCGAGGCGTTGCGTCATCTAGCCTATCATACGAAATAATCAAGGAGCATCGTAAGCCTCGAAACTAGCCTATGGGACAATGACACGTCGAACATGCTGCGTGCTTTGTGCTTTGACTTGGCGTATCCATCTTAGGTCGAAGTCGTCAGAGAATCTGCCTTGCTGGATGGTCAGAATGAGGCGACCAAAAAGTGCATTTTCACCCAACCATCACCATGGCGATCGGGCTTGTTATTGGGGCGATGAGGCAACTTTGGTTTCGCCTTGTTGCTCCTGGGGCTGCGAAAGTTCCCTTGACTGGTTCGCATCAGCTCTGATGATTGATGCAAGTCGCCAATCAGATTCCTATCACCCCCACCACAAGGCTTTTGTTGTGATGAGGGAATTTATTTGAGAGCCAATGCCGTCTTCAAGTCTCACACCACTCCACGTCGGTGGTCATGAGGCCTGGGTGGAAGCAGGATTCAATGAGGAAAAAATCCCGCCTCCGAAAAGGAAAAAAGGACAAAACAAGGAAATGAAAAAGTGAAAAACAAGTACTTCACACACCTACAGACTATATATCTAATGTCACTCCATGCCTTGAGAGCCGCCTTTATCTATCCATAAAGATTGTTTCTATTTGTTTCTATCTCATCGTATCAACTGCCACCCGTACGACAGAGAAGATCATGGCTTCTAACGACCCCATCCCGAATATGATGTGTACGGCAGCCTGCTTTCCAATCAACCCTCCCCCTAAACCACCACCTAAAGGGGCAGAACCTAGCTTGGAAGATGAGTATGACGCCAAGCTGGCTGTCGTCACTTGCGGGTGCAGCTATGGATATTATCGTAAGGATAGGAGCTGGGTATCAGGAGCTGATGTGCGCGCCGGGCTTTTCCCAACGAGAGACGGCACTTTTCTCCAGAAGGATGGAGCAGACGCATCACCAGAGCCTCAGCCTAAGACCATGGAGCCATAGGCGGAGCGAACAATGTATATTGACTTTCAACACCAACCACAGCTTTTGCACCGCTAACATGACTAGATATTGGGTCGACGAGGTGTTGTCCTGGTAGGACTCTGGGAAGAAGTGAGCAAAGTGTGGTGGCCATTCCAAGTCTTTGTATTTTATGAAGCTGGCCGTCAACAGTCAAATCTGAATTGGACCCCCGGCCCTGCCATGTACCTCAAATGACAAGACAATATGATTCTCATGGCGCAATAACAATACTCGTACCCAGCTATCCATTTTTCCATTTACTAACCTAGTTCAACCTTTCAACCCAGATGATATGCTAGTTCAGAACAACTCGAGAAAGTACTCTTCTGGCATTGCCCTTGACGAACCACCATCACGATGTTGCATAGGCTTCGCTCATCAAGGTAGAGGTAGTTTGAATAGGACCGCCCAGGGAGCCATGTGGCCTCACTTGGGGTATATTTGCCACAAACTCCCACCTCGAGCCGCTCTCCATTTCATACCATATGTCGCGTTTGAAAGTATACTAAGTTGTAGTTCCAAAGCATCGGAAGGTAACCACATCTACTAGCATAACTTGAACACTTATTAAGCTTCCAACGGATATGAATAATGCCGTATCCGAACATCCCTGCACATGAAAAGCCTATTGTCAGACAAGCTTGAATCGTGGAAGTAGGGCAGTAAGAGCTGGTTATTTTTCACGCAAAGTCTCATCCTGTGCGATGTTAGAGGATGCTGGCTGGGAGCCAAGAAGTACGGGCTTTGGAAATATCTCCGATTGAAACCTGAATCAGCTTATTAACATTGCATGTTTTGAGACCCATGTGAAGATTCATAAAATAGATTTCAAGCCCTGGATAGACAGCCCTGAAAGACTAACCCGACGGCGGATTCCTGTTGCCTCAACTTCACTTTATCTAGGTAATGACCTTTCCCCAGTCTTATGACTGCCCAGCTCCTTTGAAAATCATATCGATAACATCATCCGTGCCATTTCTCGCTACCTTCAGAGAATCTGCCGCGATGACACACTCCATATTCTCCACAAGTGTGTCTTCTAGACTTCTGAACCCGTCCTGTCCCATCTGCCGCAACACATCGGCTGCACGGCCATTGTCTACCTCACCGATATCTAGGGTTTTCTCCTCGCCCGGGACAACCATGTTTTTGCGCTCCGGGAACCGTCGACGGAGGATCCCAATAATCTCATTCCAGGAAAATGTCCCCGCCATAGCCATGAGCCGCTCGTTCTGCACATCCTCCAGGGTCAAGGCACCTAAATGCAACAGAGCTGTGTCTTGCACGTTGACATACAGTTGATGAGGGATCAAGACAGGCCCGAAGGGTATACCCTTGTCTAGTGCATTGACGAAGCAGCCGCTGCCTTTGAAGCCGAGATACTCGATGGCTTCGACTTTGCCAAAGTTGACGTTGGGCAGAACGCTGTTGAAGATAAAGTGCGGCTTGTTCTTGCGGACAAATTCCCACGCGCCGCGCTCCGCCAGGCACTTTGCAGCACCATAAACCAACATACCACGGACTTGAGGCGAGTGCGCATCTGCTGGCTTCTTGAGCTCCTCAATGGCTTCATCATTCCACGTATCTTTCGTGATTCTGTAAGGTGTTCCTGGGATCTCGTTGATGCACGCCGCCCTTGCAGAGGTCAAAACGACGCGCTTCACACTTGGCTCCTTGGATGCTGCCTCGAGCAGCTGGTTCACACTTTGAATGGCGGCATCGACAATGGTCGGATCAGGCTGGAGGGTCACATTGGCGCCCATGTGTATGATGCCATCCACGCCCTTGACGGCCTCGTTGAAAGCACCGTCGGCAGCAAAGTCGGGCACCTCGGCAAGGGTGAAGTTGGGGCCATAGTATGACGGCATCCAGCTGGAGTTGGAGATGGAACGGACGGTGCCTCGGACCTTGTAGCCACGGTCGATCAGCACTTTGGCGGTTACGCTGGCGATGTAGCCGTTGGCGCCGGTGAGGAGAATGAGTCCATTGGGAGGTACAACAGGCATTTTGATTGATTTAAAGGTTCAGGTGGATATAAAGGGCAATCTGGTAATTGTCTTTCAAGTCAGGAAGAGTGGGAGAGCTGGGGATTTATACTTGTTAAGATGTCCTGGAACTATTTTAGGCAGGACTGTAGGATACTTGCTCTACAACATATTCACACATTAGTGGTACGTGAATCCGGCATCATCTTGGGCCAAATTCATAAGCCTATGTCAGAGAAGTATCGGTCAAGCTATCTCGGGTTAGTTAACTGGAGTTGTATCGTGTCATTGCAACGGTTGCTGACGGATACAAGGGTCGCCCCAGATTAAAAAGAACCGAGCATCAGCACACTAAACCAAAAAGGTCAGATTAACCGTTGTGCATGTTGATCGGCTAGCCCCGGAAGCCTCGGTCTTCCAAATGTAACTTCCTGAGGTCTCGCTGGCTACGGCAACAACGTTCTTGGCTCAAAAGACAACATCGATAATGATGATGAGATGGGAACAACACAAATATTCCTCTGAGCTAAACGTCCCTTCCTAGTAGGTGTTGCAAGCGTTATCCAATGCGAATACGCTTGAGCTTCTTTTTCTTTACCAAGCCCAAAATCTCCCCTTGAGGATTATCTTGGGATAACCCTGCGGTGAAAGTGTAGCCCACAAGTTTCAGAAGCTTTCGACCGTTCTCATCGCGAAACTCGTGTCGCTCCCGGATTAATGCAGGCATAGGAAGCCACGGCGACGCCATCAAATGATCGCCGTCTTGCATTTCATCGGAACATATGCCAAAGAGGCCCGATGAGGCCATGAAAACTTTCTTGTTTATTAGAGAAGCAGCTTTATTTCTGTATAATAGGAAAGTGTCGAGTACACTCCACACATCCTCGTGCTGTACGTCGGCAGTTGGGTCTTGTTCATAAAGTTCATTATATAGTTCGTATGGATCAAAGGTAGAACCAACGAAATCGTGGCCCAAACAAGCATAATTCAACTGTTTATGGATGTCTGATACCTCGACAGTCCGACTTTTGTAGTCTCGCAAAACCTTTAAAGGTCAGATCTGCAGCCGCACCAAGCATAGCCTTGAAGATTGTGACCCAGCTTCCCGTTACATCGCTATGGAAGTGAAAGAGAGGTTTACAACTTCTAAGATGTTTGGCGTTAAAGGAAAACACCCGCCATCAACTGATGGAGGCATTCCAGTTTCTTGGGCACGGGTGTAACCCGAGGGGTAAAACCCAGCTGGTTGATGACGAGTGAGATCAGGAAGCCAAGATGAATAACTGTTTCGTCCCGATAAGACCTCTCTAGCAGGAAATGTTTACTTCTATCCCGACTCTTTTACCATGTTTATTGTAGGTGTATCTTTGGATAAGACGGAGCTTACTGAAAGTATGTTATTAAATCAGTCAATAATTAAGTGAGAGAGCCATGCAGGTTAAACAGTACCTAGCTGCTGGAAAAAAATGCATCAATGGATTTTTGACTAGAGACAGACTAAGTTATGATTTTCCCAATGAAAAAACCATAGTTCTTAATATTGGGCAATCAAAGCGGGAATGGAAATCAATTAGCTAGCACGTTAAGATTAAGTTGCATTTCGCAACACCTTGAACATTCTAGATTAAAACTCAAAAAAAGATATAGCTCCAGATGGGTGTCCTAATATAACTCCGTTGACTGTTGTAACCAAGTCGACTGCCTGATACTCCTTTTCATAGAGCCAAACAATATCCTCTCCATCTCTGCTTAGCCATTCCTGGGTTGCAACTATACCATGATGGTTGTTCGAATGTGAAGGAGCGTTTGAAGAATTAGTAGCGAAAAAGTCATTGACATGCCATGTCCCTCTGCCTGTCTCCAGATAGTGGCCACTTTGTGAGAATGACAATTTGCGTATAGTAGGTCCCAAAAATAGAGACCCTTTCAGAGACTTTTGGTGCAAGTCCCAGAGTTCAACAATTCCATTTCTGCAGTAACATGCCAGCCGCTCATTATCCGCTGAAACAGCGATAGACTGGGGCGGATTTTCAGCGCCTCCTGGGAACATACCATGTGAGTCTCCAGAACGGCTCCAAAAGCGGATTGCGCCGTCTTCCGAACAGGAATATAGTAAATTGCCATCAGGTGAGAATGCAACTGCGGTGACTGAACCAGAGCGGCCGCTCAGTATTATAGGTTGAACATAACATTGGGCCTTTGTGGTATTCCAAAGTGCAATATTACTGTCATCTGAAAACGATGCAATCAAGTCGTTGTCTGGGGAGAATACCAAACCTTTGACAGTAGCTGTATGAAAGTTTAGAGATAACAACGATGTTCCGTTAATCGCGTTCCAGAGCCCAATCGTAGTCGCTGATGAGAGTGAAGCAAGAAGCTGGCTATCTGACGAGAATATCACAGGTGCGTTTTCTTGGTGTTGCCTAAAGGTGTGTGAGATTCTTCCTGTTTCGGTATCCCAAAGGATAAAGTTGCCGTTTGTTGACACTGATGCCAGTATTCGACTATCTGGGGAGAAAATAAGGTCATTAACTTCCGCAGAATGGCCGTTCAGAACCCATTTTAGGCCCCAATGCCTTTCCCCTCTCAGCCATAGCTTGATCATGGCACTTTGGATCCAAAGCATCTGGGAGGTTGAAGCAACCAATCTTCCATCTGGTGAAGCCACCAGTCGAGTTATTTTGTTCGGATGGCCAATGAACTCCTCAGTATGTGATATTGACTCGATCACTGTGGAAGTCGGATCGTAAGGGCGCCATGTTGCCAACTTTCCAGAGAGAATGTCTTCATCGTAATCGTCAAGTTTTCCGATCAACACCCACGTCTTTGTATCCCAGAGACGGACTTCATCGTCAAAGGAACTTGATGCAAGCATACTCCGGTCAGGAGAAAATGTAACAGAGTTGATCCCACTTGTGTGTTCTTTCAGAATAGCTAGTGTCGTTCCACTTGCCACTTCCCAAATCATAATAGTCTTGTCCTCAGAGCCAGATGCAACCCGGCAAGCACCAACATCGATATCATAAAAGAACGATACAGCCATGACTCGTTCTTTATGTCCCTTCAATGTCTTCTGTTCGAGGCCAGTGGCGATGTTCCATATTTTGATCGATTTATCATCTGATCCTGAGACGATCTCCTTCCCGTCAGGTGAGAATTGAATAGAATTGATACATCCTGAGTGGCCGTCAAACATTGCGTGGACCTCTTGAGTGTGTTTCAACTCCCAAATTCTGATGATTTGGTCAACGGAGCCCGTAGCAACACACAAGCCATCGGGGGAAAATGCCAAAGAATTCACACCACTTGACTCGTTAATTCGATTGAGTAGTCTCCCAGTTCCAATATCCCAAAGAATAATGGACTCATCCATAGACCCTGAAAGAAGCAGCTTGCCATCAGGCGAGAATGCAACTGAGTTGATCCAGCCCACATGAGCTTCCAATTTGTGGAGCAAGGTGGATGTCTGAAAGTCCCAAAGGAAGATATTGAAATCATCTGAACCTCCGGCTATAATCCGTCCATCAGGCGAGACGGCGACAGAACTTATTTTTTCTTTTGCACCCTCGAACTTGCGAAGTCTAGATTTCGTCTTGATATCCCACGTTCTGGCCGCTGGAAAGTTGGACCCTGAGACGAGGTGCCGGCTATCTGGGGTGAAGGCGAGATCACTAACGTAATTGAACTCATCTTTGGCCTCTGGGATATCAGCTTCCGCAATTTGAATATTTTTTATCCATGAATGAATTTGCGGCCGAAAATGGTGTTTCAATTCATTTGTTTGCGGGATAAAAGCAAGAGCCGATGAATAGATTTGAAGAGGCGCCTGCTTTATCACATTCTGAAATGCAAAGATGAAACGTCTGGCGTCTTTGACAAAAGGCGTTTGACGTTCATTCATATCACTCTGTAAGGTATTTGATATGTTAACAATTTGGTGTCTGGAATGTTCTTGCTTATAGAACCCAAAGGAAAGTCAGCAACATACCGCGAGGAGGGAGTGATATAGCCTAATGATGGCGCTCATTTCAATAGTCTTTCCCATTAAATTTATGGCTTCTAACCAGTAAAGGAAGTGGCTCTTGAAGAAGCGACAGACTAGGTCATCATCACTAAGCTTGACACCACTTTGTCGCAAATGGTCAACCCAATAGAGGCATGCATATTCAAGATGAGGCGGAATGCATTTCCTTATCCTCCCAGCATCAATATTTGTGAGTAGAGTCCCTGGAGATCCTACCCCACAAATGTCTCTTTTAAGCATTTTTGACATAACCTCCATACAGGATTGAGCTAGTAGATGATGTGCTGGCCTCTCATCTACCCAGAGATTATCATTATTGCAGCGGTTCCTGTCTAGAAGAAAGTCACGAAACGTTGGATGATGTAAGCGGATAGGTCGGTCTGTGTCATTGGTAATATTGAGAATCGTATGGAAATCGTTTAATGTCTCTCTGATATCATCAAGAGGTATGTTTAAGAGTAGGGCGAGTGATTCTTGGGATAATGGGGAGTAGAGTGTGACGATGCTCCCTAGGATATTTTGTAAAGTCGAGTAAATCTCTTCTCTTTCCTGCTCATCAATACCCTTTGGGATAGAGTTATCAAGAACCGCGGTGTAGATTCGATCCAACTGCTTCTCTGGGCCAGCTCCCGAGCGATACCCCTTAATGAGGGTCTCAATCCGCCTCTTCGCAAGCCGCCGGCCTTCGCGGATGAACCGACATGCAGTCGAGGCCCAGATAAAAAGACCACCGGAGATCTCAGTCAGGCGTTTTATGATTTGCATCCCAGGCCAATTGTCGGGATAACCACGCTCATCTCGAATATCTGTGAAGCTGTTTTCGAAATAGATGTTGAGATCTCTTTCTACTAACTCGGGAGACATATCGTGCAGTTCAAAAACCTCACGCTCCTCTTCTGGAATCTTTCGGACAATTCGTCGAATCAGATTCTCGGGCCTGCTTGTAATAAAGATGCGTAACCGGATAGTGCTCAGTATTCTAGCGGTAGACAGAATCCTCAGGATCACTTGGATGTCTTTTTCACTATCACACTCATCCAGCGCATCTATTACGAGCAGAACTGTGAGCGGAGGATCACTCACTATTTTGGATAGTGGGCCGATGATCAACGTGTTCCATTGGTCTCGAAGAGAAGAATGTATTATCTCCTTTGGGTCTGTAATAGCGTCAGCTATGTGGCCTCTGGCCGATGGTATTTTGTCGGCTATATGTCTGGTAAGTGTGGTGACCAGCTTGTTGGCATGATTGAGATCACCGCCGCCCTTGGAGAAGAAAAAGCTTCCTCCCAGTTTCCCCTTTTCGTGGAATATTCTCGATACAGTGCGAGCGATCGTGGACTTTCCAGTGCCAGCTATCCCGTTCAGCCAATAAATGCACTTCTCATGCTTGGAGCCGTCCACCCATGTGGTGATGCCCTCAAGAAGCTCTAAACGAGTATCAGGCAGGCATAGTGGCTCATCCTCGTTCTGTCTCGAATTGAAAGCAGCTTCAGAGGCTATGGGCAACCTGGATAAGATACTATCGATCTTGTCTTTTTTCCTGAAAATCTCGTGTCGCAGCCTCTCGAGCGCACTCCTTTCCCCCTCTCCATATATAACCGGCATGATGGCATCGAAGATCCCCATCAAACAATACGCCATGTCTTCTTTTCGCTTAGTCTGACGGTTTTCCGCCCATGTAAAACGTTGTTTCACGGTGAAATGTTGCAGAGGTACTCCCTGCAATGCCGAATATGGGATACCGGTACTCTTATGGATGAGAAGGGCGAGAGATCTTCTGTCGCCCAAAGCCACACCTTCAGCAGAGAAGAATTCCACAGATCGTGGAGCAAGAAGCTCCTGTAGTGTCCAGCCCCTTGTAAACCATCTGCTGCTACAAAAGGCAGACCGCCATGGCAATAAAGATGCTTCTTCATCCAGCTGAGGGGCCTCGGATACTGAGACATCAGCAAGGTGTGCAAAACATCGAGCGGCATTTCGGTACCAGGAAAACATGGCCACTAAAGCCTCCTGTAGTACTGCGCTGTGCTTTTTATCGATGCAGCATGTGTCAATCCAAAAGTATTTCAAGCCATGTAGAGTTGCCTTCTCGGCACAGAATTGAATCTTGGCATAACCAGGTTTGTCCCTCGCGTTGCCACTTTCCAAGTCGTCAAAAGTGACTTCGTCGTCATTATTGAGCAGCCAGGTATGCGATAATATGGCATACTCAGGTATGTTCTCGGCATCCAATTCTTTGGTAAGTGCGAAGTTGTTATTTTCTTGGTCATTGTACAAAAGCCGCATCTCTAGTTACAGTTGGCGACAAGAATTCAGACTTCACGTTTTGAATGGGGAATAACTGGCGGCGATTAATGGCTGTATGATTATGTCACTGATATTTGATTCAGCGTATGGTAAGAGGGAGGCCATGATTTTGGGGAATAGGAGAAATGGGTCTGAATCAGAGAGCAGGGCGATCTGCTCGCTCGATATGGTGGGTGTTGGCTTATACCCAACCATGACACCAACCTCTCCCTCCACGCTCAGATTACCAGGTTTATTGATAAGCTACAGGTGGGCTAGGTACGTTAGGCGTCGAGATTCTGTGTAGCCAAAGGCGTATAAGGCTACACAGAGCCAACAGCCCCAGATAATAGGCCGAGATTCCATTTATCCTCCTGCAGCCACCAATCTTGAGGGGGCACGAAAGCCAATACGAAGCACCCACGTCTTGTGGCTTACAATTGTCCCGCACTGATTGTACAGTAAACCAATCAAGGACTGCCGATGATGGATCGGACACCGAATGCTTTGCAATTTCTCGTGAGTGCGGGATGTTTTCCACAATTTGATTCGCGGCTGAGAAATGCTGTGCTTGGTGTACCACGACAATGTTCTCATTGGACTCTCTCAAACAAGGAAGGGCAGGGACAAACCGAGAATCAAGGTAGGTTGAGAAGAAGCTTCACTATGGCATGACGTTTCGTGGAGCTACGTGCGGGGTGTAGTAAGAACGCACTGCATGTTGCGGGATCACCAAATTTGGGATCTTGCTATCCGGCCACCTCTTTTGATATACGCAGGGTATTAGCGATATCGGCTCCTTAGGCGTCCTCAGCCACAATCGTAGCAGGATCGGGTGATTGAGATAGGCATGAATAGTCCACAGAGGCGGCCGGACAACAAGATCCCAATCTAACCAGCCAGTGATACGACAACCAACTTGGGCTGTGATCGGAAAGTCCGCCAAACGACTGCCTAATAGTGTGACTTCGCATAAAATGCCGTCCTTTCCCAAGTTGGTATGTAGATTATATACAAATTGAAGAGTATACAGTCTACTTTTTATAACCCTTCTCTCCTCTTATTCACCCCTGTTTTTAAGGTATCCTGCTAGCAGGGGCTACTTAGCTACCTATAATAGGCTTGGTTGCTAAGGAATTTTATGTATTTTACGAGTTTATATACGCTTTTTAGGCGTTAGGAAATGAGCTGCCTAGTGTATTTTGTATACTGCATAAAGCTCTGCCTACCTGCGGTACAAAGGCATATCCCCGCCCATGTAGCTAATGTTCCGGTTAGGCGTCGCCTCACCTGGGCGGACTTTCTGATCACCAGCCCAAAAGAGAAACCAGCGCATAAACCCATCCCCCCCCAACCAACCCCCAACACCCTCCATCCCCCTGTAAGGCGTTTTTGCCCAAGGACTCTTACATTTCCGGCAATCAAGTTTTATTTGTCCCGGCCCGCTGGGTACCGAGATGCGGGAGAGGTCTTCTCCAGGCAATAACTGTGCTTCAATGTGTATTTAGTTCAATACACCCCATCCTAGTTGAAAAGGAATTGAGTTGATGGATTGGCCCCCCCAAACCCGGCTGAGTAGACACGTGGCTTGCATCCTCCTTCAGCTATCAGGCGGTCGCCAACTATCTTGCTGACCTGCAGGAGGTGCTGATCACGGAACCTGGGCGCGACAAGTGACACCCCAACGGGCATTTCATTGACTCCAACGAATGCAGGTATGTTGATGACTGGCATGTGAAACCCCTATGCCATGTTAGGCATTAACCTTCACGAGAAAGACTGGGACTCACCGTCCATATTGTGTTGAAAGTCGCTGCGCCCATATCACCAAGCCCCAGCGGGGCTTCATCCACTGCACTGGGCGTAAGGATGACGGAGTAATTCCCTGCCAACTTGTTCATGCTGCGCCGCATTTGACTGTACGTATCTGATGCCTCCACAATTTCCTTTCGTGTGTAGTTGGAGTGGTTTTCGACGAGGCGGCACACCTGAGGAGACAAGTTAGCCTTGTCCACTCGATACTCCCTGAGAAATGCTGCCTGGCCCTCGCCACGAGTGATCTTGTTTTGAATGTCCTTGATTGCGTCTGGATCTGAAAGTTGATCTGGAAACGGGACCTCTGCGACTTCCATGCCGCCATCCCGAAGAATGGCTGCAACTCTTTCCATGGCTGCCACTGTACCAGGACCGGCCTGGCTCCACATCGGTGTCTTCATTATGGCGACGGATATTTCCTTCAGCGGCATTTCTTTGGGAGATCCGTCATCCTTGAGGCCGAAAATGTCTGCAAGGAGTTGTAGGTCCTCGACAGAACGAGCGAAGAAACCAAACGTGTCAAAAGTAGGCGCAAACGCTTTTTGTCCTTCAGTGGAAATGGCGTTATGCGTTGGCTTCATCGCGAAGACTCCAGTATACGAGGCTGGGCGAATAATGCTGCCACCAGTTTGCGCCCCAAGGCTCAAGGGGACTTGGAAATCAGCCACTGCGGCCGCAGAACCGCACGATGAGCCGCCTGGAGTTCGGTTTGGGTCCCAAGGATTTGTTGTGTTTGGTCCAGAGTTGGTCACTGTGAATTCTGTCGTGGTTGTCTTGCCTGTGTAAAATTAGCTGAAAGCGTTCCGGGCCTAAGGAGTATGTGACGGCGTGCTGTACCAAAAATCAAAGCGCCCGCAGCACGTAAAATAGCAACGGCCGATGAATCAAAACCTGGCTGGTGTCCCTGATATATGGGAGACCCAAATTCCGTCGGCATATCTACATCGCACAAGAGTAAGAATCAATAGGTAGTCATTCCACAGCGCACAAGGCTACCGATCAAAAACCACGAAGAATGAATAAACTTACCCTTAGTATTCATGACATCCTTGACACCCACGGCCAGTCCATGCAATGGCCCCCTTTCACCCTGGGGGATTTTATCGAGGGCTCGAGCCTGCGTGAGGACAAATGCGGGGTCTGCAAAGGAGGGAGATCAGTATACATTGATGAGCCACGTCAGCAGCGGCGGACAGGAAGGGTAGCTCACCAAGATACGCCCATGCCTTGACAATACCATCTCTCTCTTTAATCCTCTCCAACAGAGACTCTGCATAGGCTTCGACGGTGATTGTGTTGTCCCTCAGTCGACTCAACACCTGAGTGGAGGTCAGGAAGGGTAGGGAGGCGACCATGATAGATGGCGATACCCTCATCTCGGATCTCAGGGGAGAGGGAATGCCAGTTGGGAATGCGATATATTATTTTTAAAATGGAGTTGTCAGCCCAGGCCACAGCAATTTATGTAGAAAAGAGGAGGTAAGCAAGAGCTGCCGCAGAGCAATTGATGCAGGTGGTGGGGTCCATGTAATACGAGAGGGAGGAGGGAGGCATCAGGCGCGATCAGGGGCAAGAGTGCCTACACTACGTAGAGGCAAATGAAGGAGGAACCTGAAGTCAGCCGCCCGTACCTGCTGTATAATTCTTAAACTGTGACTGCTTTTTTCATTTCACAATCCTACGGCCTCATGCAACAGCCCAGCCATAGATACCTAAGTGTCAATGTACATGTAGAAATGCCAGTAGAAAAATAAGAGAGAAGGGGGGGAGATGCAGGTACCTCCATGAGAACGAATACGGCTAGTATTAAGTACTTATTTGGGTCAACAATGTGCGTGTATTCACTTTATTGTGATTGTGCATTGTGTCGTTACGCAATGACTTCCCTTCTCGGCTGATCTAATCACTCTATTGTCCATAGGAACCAATACCGGGGGGGGGCTCTACAATTTATTGTGTGCACCTCCGATGCAACATAATCTGGGATGTTTACCCTCGCCTGGGCAACTGTCTTAACCTGTCCATCGGCTGGCTATGGACAGCATCCACGTCCACCTCACTAAGAGCGCGGGCCACTTCTTCGTCAATCCTGTAATGGACCACCCACGTCACTGCAGCCTGCGACATCCTCAGCACATGTCGAGAGATTCTTTCGTCGATTGAACCCTCCTCTATCTGTGCTACTGATTTGACTTGGGAAAATTTATCAAGAACCTCGTAGAGCCGCTGGTAAAAGGGAGAGCGTATCGAATCGAACTTGATGAGGGCGCCCGATAGCGCAATGCTCCTCTGCATGGACCATTCAAGCACCTTCGCTAAGGTGTAAACATCTTGCAAAGCGAATGCGGCACCGGAACCAAAATTTCCTAGCATTGGGTGAGCCGCATCCCCGATGAAAGCGATGCAGCCACGGGATATGACGCTGTCTAAACGACGGCTGGAAAACAAGTCGAACTCTTGCGTTTGTCCTTTCGCGGCTAGCTGTAAGATCTGGCCAACAGGAAGACAGAAGTCATCGTACTCTTTGAGGAGTTCGTGTAAGTCAAATGGACGCCCCCAACTCTTGGGATCCTCGCCTTCTCTGGTGCGGCGGATCCGAGCCGTCACTTCAAAATCATCATCGCCGAGCGGGCAAGTCATGACCCATGCTCCTGAGATGTGCTCCCAGAACACCTGAGCAAACGGCAGTTCCTTGATATTTGAAGCTTCTGCTTTGCTGACTATGGTTCGATATGCAGATTGCCCGTTGAATTTGGGTACATGGTCAGGGAAGACCTTTCTGCGGATTATCTAAGATCCACTTTAGCTGGAATATCCTCCCTATTCTTAACGTTGTGGCTCGTACTGATCGTAGACCATCCGCAGCAATAAGCAAGTCGACTTCATTAGAGGACCCATCTTTGAAGAAGATGCGAACCCTGTTATCTGCAGTGTGCTGTATGTCCATCAACTTTTTCGACACGTGAATATGAGCCTGGTCCACAGACCTGAGAAGCGCCGTTTGCAACTTGCTTCTAGTCATCCGGCAGCTCTGGTACTTGGGCGGTATACCTTTCTGAGAACTCTGCTCCATCAGCAGCTCCCCAGTCCTTCCATTGCTTCTCAATCGGCTCTATTAATACTGGATAAACTGAGTAGGTTAGAGGTAGGGCACCCACCGCCTCTGTTCAAGCTTGCCTTCACTTGATCGATAGATGTCAGTTGCGGTGATAAACTTAGCTGCGCCATTATTTTCAAGAAGTCTTAAGGTTGTTGGCTGCAATGAGATGCCTCCCCCTGTCTCACTTATCATCGGCTTTTTTTCATATAGATCCCAGTCCATGAAAGGGAGGCTTGCTAGTTCGATTGCAAGTCCAAGGCCCGCCGGGCCACCTCCAACGATGGCGACTTGAAGGCGTCCTTTGCATTTCCTCCTAGGCTTACAATCGTTATCAGACATAAGGAGAGAATCTGATGACCGTGCAGGTTTTCTGTAGACCAATATGAGTAATAAATAGATAAGGAAACAATGGAAGTCGCTCGCCAGTGAACAGTCGCGATGTGAAGAAATTGAGAAAGACACGGCGCGATTCCATGCATGTGACAGGTAGCAGCTCCTTTGCCAAGCGTGCACGAATTTCACACATAAGGGCAGCAAGCACAGAATCATTGGGTATCACGCATGTCTATCACGCATGTCTACAAGGTGGCACACCAACGTTTTTCAGATGAAACATAGCCCTTTGTGTCATGAGGGGCTCTAGGGGGTTGGCCTTGACACAAGTCGTATGATGGACAAAGTAGCTTTTCTCGGATATTTTGAAGCGCCAGTGCTCGAAAAAAAATGGTTATGATGTGTAGCAATATTTTTAGTCCGTAATGACCTCTCAAACTCACCGAAAATACCCTGTCGTCATGACAATTTCCATCCATATGAGGGAAGCCATAGCATTCCACATGACCCGGCTTGCCGCATATATTCTCCGACCTATAGTCTATCCGCACTGCCTGACCAATTTTTTTTTTGGCAAATAGTCGGTGATCTGAAGATACCTCCCTCATAGTTGATATTACTGTGGATGGGAACCCCCATGCAGTCACCAGAAATCTCAACTCTACCCTGCGATCACTCAGGTCACCACTTAGCCCCGGAGTCATTTGGGCCGACGCTATTTGCATCAATCAAGCTGACATCCTGGAGAAAAAAGGCCAAATTCCGCTGATCGGCCAGATCTATGCTGGAGCAGCCGAGGTCATTGGATGCCCGGGAATTGATGGAACACCAGAGCTTGAATTCTTTGCTGAGTGGGCAGAGGTTTATAATTCCCACACTCCGAAGTTATTTTCGCTTAAATGGGCTATGAAGCACGGATTATCGTGGCTCACACCGAAGAAATACATGAAGTACCAGTTATTCAACTTTCGGCTTCTGAAAGCAGAATACGCATTCTGGTGGGCCGAGTACTTCCAGCACATGTGGACAGTCCAAGAGCTCGCACTGGCTGAAAAGCCACCGATCTTTGTCGTCGGCCAGAAATCGTTTCGCTTCAGCACGTCGAAAGAAATTGGTCAGCATTCGAGACCTCTGAAATATCGACGTATTGTTTCAGGAGCCGGAATATACAAGTATTTCAGCACCGAGTTGCGTAACAAGCTGGAAGAAGAGCTTCATGAATTTTCGAACACTTACGACCCTGCAACCCACTCAGCGCGCCTCGTGACCGCTCGTTATGGTTTCCAAAACCCGGGCCTTGGCCTCCCTGCTTCATTGCAGAGCACTAGCCACCGGAAGTGCTTCAACCCTCGCGACAGAATCTTTGCTTTATATTCCCTTGCTCCTGGATTAGAAGCAGCTTATCCGGCTGATTACAGAAAACCTCCAGGGCAGGTGTTGATGGATACGATATGCTATCTACACATCATCCCGGCATTTGGAGTTTTTCGCCCTTAGCTGGCCACTTCGGAACACGAGGCTGGATGACAGTTATAGACACTTGGACAAATGCTACTAAGTCGAGATAAAGAAGTCCGGGAGAAGAATAACCAAGAGATAAGATAATTACATACCAGAGGTTACGTAAATCTATATGCTCGGGGTTCTAAAACGGTCTTACTGCTGAACTAACTATTCGGATAAAGACCCTTATTGCAGTTTAAAATCACTTCGCTCGCGCTGCGCCCGCAAGATTCCCCACAGCTCATTCCCCAGCGAAGACTCTGGGGGAGGGGAGGCCGTACGCCAATGTTGTCAGGCTGGGAACAGAGAAAAAGATATTACTGCTCAGGTGACTTAATGAGGGAAAATAGAGGCTCAGTATTTCACGGTAGCACAATTCAAAGACCCAAATTGCATGGTATTCTGCCAGTCTTGACGACTGAAATCACGCCATATACTTTCTCCGCGGAATCACACGAACGTGGCGTGGCCGATCTCCCGGTCTCTCTCTCACCAAAAATCTCGATCTAACTGACAATTCCACGTCTCTGATTTGCTGGACTCGACCTTTTTGCGGCGGGCCCCTTTTACCGGGGGTCAGGAGATATTTGCGCTAGAATTCGCGATCTTTGCATTTCCGTGAATGGTTTCTCCGCGGACCGTTGAATGTTCTCCACTAACCGCGGCCTCGAGCTTGAACCACGGGCGTTCACTCGCCCTCATTAGTTTTAGCCTGGCATGTGGGAAAAGGGTGGTAGAGATAAGGGTTCCATTAGGCCGGCCGAGATTATGTTTCTTTAAAAAAATACAACATTGGGAAAAAATGAGAGACAACGAGATATTGGTGGTGAATGTAGTGTAGCAGTCATAAGAGTCGGTGTATTCCGGCCGTCCCCTTCCTCGCAGCAAAGGAGGCAAGGTGGCCCGAAATAATATCCATTTATTTACATGTTATATAAGACCCCGTCACCCGTTCCATTCCGAGCATCAACCTATCTAGTCAAATCGATATCATCTCATTTCCGTAGAGCCTATGCCCAAAACCACCTCTAACGCTATGGAGGCTCCGTCAAGGAAACGTGTTGCCGTTGTTGGCCATGGCATGGTTGCCAGCGCTTTCATCGACAAGCTCCTCAATTATGATGCCCAGAGCGGCCGGGACGAGTGGGAGATTACTGTCTTTGGAGAAGAGCCCTACATTGCCTACAACCGTGTTGGCCTGACACAATATTTCGCCACTCGGTCCATCGAAGATCTGTACCTCAATCCTCTTGACTGGTACTCGTCATTTCCAGAAGGAAAATTAAAGCACATCACCTCAGATCCTGTCACATCTATCGATGCTAGTAGCAAGACTCTCAAGACGTCCAAGGGGGTTGAGTTTGTCTACGATGAGTGTGTTCTTGCCACAGGCTCGAGTGCTGCATTGCCGCCGTTCCTCTCACGCGATAGATTCAATGAGACTCGAGGTTCCTTCGTGTACAGGACCATCAAGGATCTAGACGACATAATTGAGTACGCCACGGACGCACCCAAGACCCTTGGTCACACAATCAGGAAAGCAGCAGTCATCGGCGGCGGCCTCCTTGGCCTGGAAGCTGCCAAAGCGCTCCTTGATCTGGGAGAAGTCGGCCAGGTCATTCTGATTGAGGGCGATGGCTGGCTGCTTAGCCGTCAGCTTGACCAGGAAGGCGGAAACTTAGTCTTACAGAAAGTCAAGTCTCTAGGTGTTGAAGTGTATCTTGGAGCGCGTGTGCAGAGTCTTCTCTGGGATAGCGAAGAGAGGATCAACGGTCTTGTCCTCCAAGGCAAGGGTGGCGAGCCCGATCAGCAGCTCGAGATTGATATGCTCGTCTTCGCTGTCGGCGTTAGGCCTCGTGATGAGCTGTCAAAAACTACAGGCCTTGCCGTCACCCAACGTCCAGGAGGCTTCATCGTCGACACACAACTGCGCACCAACCTGCCCAATATCTATGCTATTGGCGAGTGTGCCAACTATCTCGGCCAGGCGTACGGCCTGATCGCGCCTGGTGTTGAGATGGCTGACATCCTTGCCTTCAACTTCACCGAGGGCCCGCATCACAACCTCCGGCACTTGCAGGTGCCTGAACTCAGCACCAAACTTAAGCTGATGGGCGTCGATGTCGCTTCTTTCGGTGACTACTTTGCTGATAGAGGCATGATCAGCAAGCCAATCCCAGGCACCACTCCGCGTGCAACACGAGCGAATGGTGCTTCTCAAGGGCAACCTACTCTTTCTCCAGACGAGATCAAAGCCAAGGTTAATGCTGTCACATATCGGGACCCTTTCTCAAGCATATACAAGAAGTATATTTTCACCACAGATGGTAAATATCTTCTTGGAGGAATGATGGTTGGTGACGTTAAAGACTACGTCAAGCTTGTGGCAATCTGTCGGAAGGGCTCTCCCATGGAAAAGCCCCCGTCCCAATTCATTCTCGGAGCCAAAGCAGATGGCGAAGAGGAAGGGGACGATCTTCCAGACGATGCCCAGATCTGCAGCTGCCACAATGTCTCCAAGGGCGCCATCACCCAATGCGTTAAGAACGGCGCGCGGTCCTTTGGCGAGGTCAAGACAAGCACCAAGTGCGGAACCGGCTGTGGAGGCTGTGTGCCACTTGCAACGAGCATCTTTCACCGTGCCCTCGTGGCGGCTGGTGTTGAGATTTCCAACCACATCTGCAAGGACTTCGCCTATTCCCGCCAGGACCTATATCAGATCATCAAATTCCGAAAACTTAAGGATTTCACTGCCGTTATGAAGGGTGTAGGAAGGAAGCCCGATAGTCTCGGCTGTGAAGTCTGTCGACCTGCTGTGGGTTCGATCCTGAGCTCCGTTTTTAACGAATGGATTATGAAGCCGTCACTCCGCCAAACGCAGGATACGAATGACCGATATCTCGCCAACATGCAGCGAGACGGGACCTATTCTGTCGTTCCGCGACTGCCAGCTGGCGAGATTACACCAGACGGTCTGGTCGTCATCGGGCAGATTGCTGCTGAATATGGCCTGTATACCAAGATCACCGGCGGCCAGCGCATTGACATGTTCGGCGCCAAGAAGCAGGACCTTCCCCAGATCTGGGAGAAGCTTATCAAAGCCGGCTTCGAAAGCGGCCACGCGTACGGCAAGGCTC